AAAAAAAAAAAAAAACGATTCATACGCGCGTAATGGACATACAGAAAAGGACAGTTGGCTGTACAATTTACAGGTCAGAGTGTCATCGAATTCCACCTCCAACTTCCAAGGCGACGTTGCAATGTTTCTGGAAGAGAGCACGTTTCCACGTTGCTTCATATTCTCGATGGATTAAAAAGGTTATTTGATCAAATGTGTCAATATACTTGGTCGTTCGGGAATCGTGCGAACGTGTGCAAAATTTCAATGAAACAGACAGTCGACGATGATGCTCGATTTCTTCTGTGACTCGAAACATTTTCAGTTTGTCCAGTCGAAAAGAAAGGAAAAACAGAGAACGTGCAAGAAAAACGAAAGCTCGCCGTCGAAGCGAATGTCGTACGAACATTTCGAATCTGACAAGCAATCTCTTTGTACTCGAACGACAGATTAATTAATCCTTGGTTGGCTCGGACGTTCGTTGGCCAACTGCAACGACCCTTTTTCATCCCCGTGAAAGCATCCGGCACGGACGCGACACCTTCGCGCGACTCGTAATAACGCTCTAGATTCTAGATACATACATGTACATATGTACGTATGCACGTACTAATGGCAATTCGAAAGACCTCGAATGGATGCGACGATGGTCAAACGTCGATGTCGTGCAATATCTCAAAAATTTCGTCGCTAGTCAGTGTCAGCAACGCAACATACATACAGGGTGGAAAGAAAAATTCATTCTACGCTTTCGATTTGACGGAGACACGTGTAAAGAACTTGCCACAATATTGACTTTGATCTTGAATTTTAAGTAATTTTAAGTAATCGCGAAATTTGTCCAAGGAACTATAGGTCTTTTGAAAAATGATAAAAGCTTCTTAATCATTTAACAATGCCCACGCGTGCGTTCTAACAGCGACTTTATGCAATGTTTATATTTCAAATAACATTAATAGTTGGTTCTATCATTGATGCTACAACTATGATAAATCAAATGTTAGTCAAATCAAACCTAACCTAATCTGGAATCATAAAGTCGCTGTTAGAACCTGCTGCAAAATTGATCTTAACCTTAAATTTCAATGCAAACATTTTTTTCCGTTTGTACTCTACTCATGACGAAGGTGAAACTTTTCCAAGAGACCATCGATCGCAACCTATAGTTCTTTTCAACAATGACAAAAATTTGACAAATGTTTCTTTCTTCTAACAGCGACTTTATGCAATGTTTATATTTCAAATGATATTAATAGTTGGTTTTATCATTGATGCTACAACTATGATAAATCAAATGTTAGCCAAATCAAGCCTAATCTGGAACCATAAAGTCGCTGTTAGAACTTGCCGCAAAATTGATCTTAACCATAAATTTCAAAGCAAACATTTTTTTCTGTTTGCATTGTACTCTATTCACGACGAAGGTGAAACTTTCTCAAAGAACCATAGATCGCAACCTATG